GATTTTAAGTAAATGCTTCTTTGTTCTTTTGTCTTCTGGAAATCTTATCTAAATGACAGTGTAAGAAGGAATAAAAGGTAAGCAAATGTGAATTCTTTGAAATTTCAATAGTTTAAGCATTTTATTTATTTATTTATTTGTACTTAGTACAGGGTCTACAGGGTCTCACTACATAGATCAGACTCAGTGATTCTCCTGTTTTCAGCCTCCCAAGTGCTGGGATTACAGGCACACACCATCACACCCAGTCTCAATTGCTGTCTCAGCACACCCTGAAGGCAGGGCCAGCACAGCAGACCTGGGGATTGAACTCATGGCCACTGTGTTTGCCCAAATAGGAGCTTTAATCTGCTGAGATATTTGGCCAGCCCTTAAACATCTTATTTTAAACACTATGTGAATGCTAGCTACTCACTAAAGAGAATATAATTTAAAATTATGATTTTAAAGTAGCCCTTCAAAAACACAGCATCAATATTCTATCAACCAAATTTTGTACTAAGTCAAAGGGAAAGTAAATGAAAAGAATTCAATCACCCAAATAAGAATTATGATAACCTTTCATGGGTGGATAAGCTAACAAAAAGACATATCACCACATTGTATTAAAATATAGTTGAGTACAGGGAGGGTGCTATAGCTCAGCAACATAAGGACCTGCCTAGTAAGTGCAAGGTACTGAGTTCAATCCATGATACTGCAAAAAATACAAAAAGGAAAATATATGTTAAACTTTAAATCCCTACAGAATGTGAAGTAAAAAGAAGAAAACACATGTTATGTCTGAAATGTTTGATATTCAGACAGATAGTGAGGTTATTAAGCTCAACTGCCTATGTTATAGGGTAATAATATTGATACAGGGAAAAAATTTGATCTCGGGTCGGTGACCTCCAAACCATATAGGGCACCTCCAAATGACATAGGGAAAAACAATCTATTGAGCCGGCCTGTACGAGTTCGTGTTCTCTAAAACCGAAGAATGAATTTTAGGAACAAACGGAGGTTATGAGCAGAATATATTGAGAAAAAGAAAGCTCCTGTCCAAGAGATGGACAAGATGGGGGTCCGAGCGGGTAGTTCCCCAGGAACCTGTCTCTACTAGGGACTTTTATAGTGTAAAACCATGTGGGGCTGAGGTAAAGAAAGGGGGAACCCGCTTAGGTGGATGTGGGTGGGACAAAACTATGGTCAACCAATGGGATTACAAGCACCATTGCTCAGGTAAAACTGATTAAATCCAGTATCAAATGGGAAAGTGAGTCATGTAGCAAGGGGGCATGAATAGGGCATGAATATGGGACAGGGTCTCTCCATGTTGTGGGTTGGAATATAGGACAGGGTCTCTTCCCATTGGGGGTTGGGCTAGTGACTCACGTGGGTCTTTTCAGGTAATTGATACCTATTTAGAATATCAATCCCCGGTGCTAATCTTTTAGCATTTGTTTGGACTTTAGGTCTTTAGGTCTGGCTCATAGCAGGAGCATCCATCCCTCCCACAGTTGCAAGGTAGCTTGTCTTTCCTGCTGTCTCCTTTAAGGGCCTGGCACTGTTTGACTGCCTATAGTATTTCTATCTAACTCAGCTGCCTGCAATAATATCATTAAGCTTCTCTTCTGGAGGGTTAAGAACTTAAGTTTGCAGACCAAAAAATTAGAGAAAAAGAAGGACTACAAAGATAGGCAACATTTTGACCCTAGACATTCAAGGTCAGTGAGAACTCAGGACATAACAGAATCTATTCTGCAACATCCTGTAACTCAGTGATGTCCCAAATTTTCTGATTAAGGAGAAAATGGGGCCACAGAGGAAAGTGATTGATGATATGTAATGCTCTTAAGGAGAGTCACCTAGAGAGAAAACATTCTCTCAGGCTTTCACAGAGAGCAAATTAGTCAAACAATGGCCTTGACTCATCCACATGGCTGACACTGACAGAGGATCTACAAACTGTGGTACAGAGTTTCAGGGTAAATCTTGAGGGGAATTGACTGATTTTTGTCAGATACAAAAGTTGCAATTCTTGTTATATAGGTCTTGATTTATCTTGTTCTTAACCATTCAGCAGAAAAGTATAAAAACAAGGTAAAAAAATAAAGCCATATTAATATGCTGAGCTGTAAAAGGCTCAAGTCAACAACTTCTGACATTGCTAGTCCTACAGATAACCCACTAGTGTTATAAAATATTGGAGTGTATTGGATTATTTTGCTGAATTCATGTACCTACAATATTTAAATGACAATGGAATACCTATCTCTGACAAAAGTAAACAAAAAAAGAGGATATAAATGAAAGACCATTTTGTATCTGTATATACAAAATAATTAGGATACATATACAGCTACTTTCTCTTAATTCAATGAGAAGAAATATTTGTGCTAATAGTGTTTGGACAGGATATCATGTCTGCATCCTGCACTATAAAAACCTACTATTGGGGCAGGGGAGATGACTCAGTGGAATAAGCACTTCCCTGGCAAGCGCAAGAACCTGAGTTCAATCCCTGGTTCTGAAAAAAAAAGCTACTATGAAGACAACAATACACAATATATTAATTATTGTAACTATCTTACTAACCTGTTTTGAAACTTTCTCATTACTATTTGTTTCTCAACAAAATTAATGAAAAATATAGACATATATAGTTGAGTAAAAACTTTTTACTACACCCTTTTTTAAGTACTGGCATATGTAGAGAATTATTATTATTATCATCATTATCATTATTATTATTATTATTATTATTGTTAGTAGTAGTAATATATTTGGTTGTTACAGGCTCTCACTACACAGCTCAGACTTATAGTGATCCTCCTGTTTTCAACCTCTTCAGGACTGATATTACAGGCTTGCACCACCATGCCCAGTCTCAGTGGTCATCTCAGTGCACCCTGAGGGCGGGGCCAGCACAGCACATGGAACTGGGGATTGAGCCACAGCCCTGTACTTGCTCACCTAAGCAGGTGTTTTATTCTGCTGAGCTATCTCACTGGGCCTTGTAGAAAGGGTTTGATTACCAATAATTTGTGGGCCACTTTCAAATTGTGCTATGCTATAGTTCTTTAAGGTAGTCATTTTTATCAGGATCCTTTGTCTCACTCCAAATCTGAATATTAATCTGTTCTTTTCTGGTTCAAGAACATTATAAAATACATTAAAATGTATTTGTGTTTGTGTTTTTGTGTGTGTATTTCTTTCAAACTTTCTGAGAGATAATATTTTAAAACAAAAAGTGTGGAAGCAGGCCAGTTAGCTCATAGACTACAGCACCTGCTTGGGCAGAACGCAGGAGCCAGAGTTCAATCCCCAGTGTACTATGCCAGCCCCGCTCCTGGGTGGTACTGAGACAGCAATTGAGACTGGGTGTAGTGGTGCATACCTGTAATCCCAGTGCTTGGGAGGCTAAAAACAGGAGAATCACTATGAGTCCCATCTACGTACTGAGAACCTGTAGACCTTGTAGAACCTGTACCAAATATGCACAAAAAAATATGAGAGTTAAATGTACCTATCTATTTTGGCTCCTCTGTGAACAAAACGTGAAAGGAAATTTTAAGTGCATAACTATGTAAATCTAATGAGAACAGAAAATGGGACAACAAATGAAAGACATTAATAAGTTTGGGACAATGGTGATTAGGCATAACTTCACAGACAAGAAAAAAATAAAACAAAAATTTTCCAGGAATCATTTTTATTCTCCCCTACAAAACCATGGAAAGAATATAGATTTTGAGGCTATAGCTCAATAAAGAGGGAAAGTTTCACAAACCTAAAAATATGTGGATGAGTTTAATATATTTATTTAAGCTTGTTAAATAGTTCCAACTCATAGTGATCCTACTGTCTCAGCCTCCCCAGGGCTGGGAATACAGAAATGCTCTACCACATTTGGTTTTGGTGACTGACACAGTGCAAACAGGGTTCTGGAGCCAGAACAGCGAGTGGTACCGGGAACTGAACTCTGGTCCTTGAGCTTATCAGGCAGGCACTTAGATCGCTGAGCTATCACTCCAGCTTGAGTATGAGCTTAAACTAAGAGATATATCTGTGAGGCTCCCCCAACACAAAATCTTCCAAAGTGAGGTAGGCATATTTTGTTCACTTTCTGCATGACACCAAAAGTCTCTGTTGATCATTTTCTTTTTTGTACTATGAGTTGTACATGGGACCTTGGCACTAAGCTAAATATCTAGCCCTTTTTATTTATTATTTTGAGACCAAATCTCCTTAAATTGTCCAAGTGGGCCTTGAAAGTCTTCTTATGCCCCTGTTTAGCTTTTTCAGGTAACTAGCATTGTAAATTCAAACCACCAAGGAAAAATTAGTAATTGTTTTATAGAGAGATACAACCTGCATGAACAGAAATATCAAGACATTTGTCCTTCCAAAAACAAGCAGAACCCAGAGTCAGAAAAATTAAAATATTGAATGATAAACTGTTGTTTTACTTACAACATATACACTCAGTCACAGAACTAAGCAGATAACAAAGAACTTATCTATGGGATAAATAAGAAGCCCATGAAGAACAAGCACAATGAGAGGCAAAACTTTTGGGAGATACGTAAAGAACATAATGTCTTGTGTATGTATTACCTTGAAGCATATTAATATACTTTCATACAAATACTGATCAGAAAGAGTTGTAGTGAGTCTCTCTGAAATATCAGGGATGACTCAACTTTTTGACTACTGAAAAAGTTTTGATATTGATAAAAATACACAAAAATAAAAAAATTCCAAATCAGCATGAGAAGCAGAAGAAAAAGAATTTGAATGATATTATAAATGTCTTTAAAAAGTGCTATGCAAATAACCCAACAGGAATTCTTACAAATCAAATCATTATAAATCAAAGAAAAAAAGCCCACATAACACTGAAGGCACAGCAAAGAGAAAAATGTTTACTAACTGAAGAAACCCTGCAAAGCTTCCAATGTTGCACCAACAAGAATTTTTACAAGTTCCACCGTAATCTCCAGAAATCCTCAAACATGGGAATTGAAGTGACACAGTTCCATCAACTTCTTTGTGCAATAATTGAAAATTTTTCCTCATGCAGGAATTATATTCTCAAAGGTAAGAACAAAAATAAACTATTAATTTAACCAAATATTGTAATAGAATTTCAATGGTGAGAGATTAAGGTACACAGACCAGTGTAGTGGAGCAAGTGTAAGAATTTCGAACTTTCATTTATTAAGAGACATTCAAGAGTTGATGCCTAAAGTTGAGAAGTAACAGTATAGCAGTATGGACATTCATTTAAGTTTTGTAAGACAGCTTAGAAAACTGTACTTAAAATAGTTTAAAATCATTTGTAAAAATTATATTTAGGTAATAACATAATTAGTATTGGATAAATTACATTACTCTATGAAGAGCAATGATATTTAATTTTACTTTACATCATATATATATATATATATATATATATGATTATAATTTTCTTTGATAGAAATAGAAGTCAGTTATAAGCCATGAGAAATGTCAATTTTGTGGACAAGCATGCGATGTATCAATTATATTGATCAGCTCTTTACATTAACATTTGTGAAACATCTCCAAGTCAATTAAAACAATTAGTTGGGGAGATAACTCAGTGGTCTAAGCACCTGCCTGGCAAGCACCAGGACCTGAGTTCAATCCCCAGTACCATATTCCCTGTTGGCTCCAGAACTTCGGGTGCACTGGACTGGCCACCAAACCAGGTGTGGTGGCACACGTCTGTAATCCCAGCGCTAGGGAGCCTGAGACAAGAGGATCACTATGAGCACAAGCTGCATAGCAAGACCCTGCACCAAATACATAAAGATTAAAGCAATAAGAAGTTATTAAAAAGGAGATTGATCCAGTGCAATAAGAATTAACAGTTTCATTTCAATGAATTGGAAATTTTGGGGGCCAGGGAGATGGCTCAGTGGAATAAGCACTTCCCTGGCAAGCACAAAGGCCTGAGTTCAATCCGTGGTTCTGCAAAGAAAAAAAAAAAAAAAAAAAAAGGAGATGTTGGGTGTATATACCACTACATTGTAATTAGGAAAAAAAAACTATGTTCTAAAAATAGTACAACTTTAAAGTTATAATTTGAACAAATGAAGAAAATATATGCATAATATTTTCTCTATAGAGTTTCAGAAATCCGATCAGGTTTGTCTGATGTAGGATCAAAGTCCTTAAGTTTCTATGAAGTGATGAGAGACACTATATCTTGTTACCATGAAGAATATGAGGATTCACTCAGAGAAGGTCAGAATACTCTCAGGTGTAGCCAACTGGTGGGTGGGCTTAGAAACCCACAGTCATATTCAGATTTTACTGGTATCAAACCCATTGATCATATACCTTAATAACAAATAGGAGAAATTCATGGTGTTAAATTAAAATATATATTAATATGAATTGACTACACATGATCTGGTATGTTTTGATCTGCAAATTATTGTGTTTTCCTTTGACTGTATAAGAAGCGGTTGGTATTTTAAAAGAAAATTTGTTCATGCAAACACCAATGCAGATATTTTACATTACGTACTTATATTGCTTTTTACTAAGAACTATTATCTCAGGTTTAGCATTTTCAAATATTCATATTCAAAAATTTTTGAAGAGGTAGAGAGGCATGTGTAGGATATATATATATATCGGACTTCCTGTTCATTTATAGAAGGAAGTAGGAAGTTACTGTGTAAAGTATAAAAAACCCTACACAATAGTTCTACTCTTTCTTCATATTTTCCTTAACTTTTTGTCAATGCCAATAATAGCATTTGTGTATATGAAACCCATGCACCTAATTTATGCATTCGGTTACAGATTAAAACAAAACCAGTCAGGCTGGTGAGAAAACTCAGCAGACTGAGCACCTGCAAATGCAGGGACCTGGGTTCATTTCCCAGCACCACATGCCCCGCTGGCACCACTCTGGGTATGCTGAGCTGGCCACTGAAACCAGGCCTGATAGCACACCCCTGTAATCCCATCACTGGGGAGACTGAGACAGGAGGATCACTATGAATGCAAGCTGCATAGTGAGACCCTGTATCAGATACATGAAAAAAAAATTAAAAGAAAACAAAAATCTTACTTCTTCCCCATTGTTTATATTACAATTGAATGCTGGGTTTCATGATTTTTGTGTACCAGGACACTTAGATATCCATTCCTGTTAAGTGATTCTACTAAATATTGGAGATGATACAAGTTATATTTATTTCAGGAACAAAAAAGGCGATACGATTATGCATGATATAAAGAAGACAGACTCATTACTATTGTCTTATTGTGTGTGTGTGTGTTTGTGTGTGTGTTTATATTTGTGCATAAATGCATGTGTGTATGTACAGATATTTAAATGTACAAGTACAAACCCACTGAAGTGTGTATACGTATTTGCGTGTATGCATTTCTATGTATGTTCAAAGTGTCAAGTCTACTTCCTTAGGAAAACAAGAGCAAAATAAAAATACATAACCAGAAAAATTAAGATAAATCTTTCACCAAAAGTAAGAAGACCACGAGGTAAAGGAAAGAGGAAAGAGGGGAGAAGACAAGGATAGAAAGTGTTATGATGTGAAATGTTCATGTACTGAATGACCAGGAGGAAAGTAATCCTGATGTACTAAAAATGTGTACCAATAGACAGAAAAGCTGAAAAAAATAGAAAACAAAAACATTCAATTTAAAAAATGTTTTCTTATTTTATTGTGAATATTTCAATGCTTCAGAGTGAAATTAAATATAATTTACATATTTGATTAAGTTTATAAGGTTAGTAGTATTCTGTGACATGAAAATGATACAATTAAACAGAAATAATAGAACAAAAATATTTTCAGCGTGACCTTATAAATGTCAATGATAACTCTAAGTCCCTAGATGGATTGATATTTTATAGATTAGAGGATTATTAATATATTATTTTTTCATAAATCAGAATCATAAAAACATACAGTCAGCTCTAGAGTTGGAATTTCTGATCTTATGAAAGACTCAAGGGCTGGCCAAATAGCTCAGCAGATTAAAGTTCCTGCAAGCAGGTGCAGAGGCCAGCGGTTTGATCCTCAAGCCTGCTGTGCCAGCCCCGACCCCTGGGTGTGTTGAGAAGGTAACTGAGACTGGGCATATTGGAGCGTGCCTGTAGTCCCAGCTCTTGGGAGGCTGTAAACAGGCGGATGACTACAAGTCTGACCTAGTAGTGAGACCCTGAACACCCTGTAGACTCTTCCCTAAATAAAAAAAGACTCAAGTGTCTAGCCTATACATCAATATATTAATAATGTTTTTGTTCTAAATATGAGGATCATGCACAGCAAATAAAGTCATAGTTGTAAACTGGATAAAGTAGCTCATATTTCTAGCCATATTTATATTTCAAAACACATGCTGCCTTCTTAGGATCCACACTGATCAGTTTCTCCCAATGAAAGGTCTTTTTTTTTCCTTTTTACCTCAGCCCTCTCAACATGTTAAAACAAACAAAATGATAATAGTTTTTTATTATAAACACATTCATGAGACTAGTAAATCAATATTTTAATTCAAATGGGAAATTGTTATTTTATACCTTTTATATTGTCTCTGAAACCTAACACAAACACTGTCACTGTAACAATATTCATGGCTTTGATTTGGTATTAACTTTTTAGTAATTACTGTAAAATGAGTGCAGTAGTTGGATTTATATCTCTAAAGAGTAATGAACAGATGACAATTAACTGGTAATTATTTCCACCTGCTGAACTCTATTTTGAGAAGATTTGATTAATTAGCAGCACATATCTGTCATCATTAGATCCATAGTCTTTTATTTTTCCTTTCAAAAACAGCGAGGTGCTGTTAACTTTAGTTTAGAACATAGTCTTTTGTCCATTTTCTGGGTCATTGGTCTTGAACTCATTACCCATATAATGGGGAGTAGAACTACTGTTAATCAGTGTGAGCATGTGATTTCTCTCATAAAAGTGATAGCAATTTTGACACAAGAAAAACTTTTTTTTGTAAAAAATGAAAGTAGCCTTCTAGATGATTCAGTCAAAGGTTTAAGTGGCTTTGCATTCAAAAGATTATTATTAGTTCCAAGACATGTGTTTCTATGAAACCCTGTGATGTATGGAGCAATATGCTTGTGTTCCACAAAGATTCTTCAAATACTGATTTTCACTACAACAATGGTATGTGGCAGTGTTGTAGGTCCATAACCCGAGTATCTTTCTGTTTTAAGATTGTGTAAAAATGGACAACTTTCTCTCTTGACTCTTCTCTTACATGATGCATTTCAATGTGCACAAGTTTCCTAATCAGAGCGTGTAACTGGGGTATTCCCCATGTTTCATCTTCATTGTGTGTGTTAGGCAATAAGCAAAGGTCAGTATGTGAGTTACAGAGGAGCAAAAATGCAAACAATTGTTCTTTGCTAATTAAAAAAAAATCATGAACTCGCTAGTGTAGCAGCTCAATTGTGAATGTTAGAAAATTCTATACATTGTGTGAATCCAAATTGATAAATTCAGTTATACAAATTCTGTATGATTTCACCTAAAACATTTCACCCTGTGTTCCATCTCATTTGGAAGAAGAAAATCATACCCTGGAAAAATAGAAAATATAGTGTATGAACATTTACATTACTGAAGGCTTAATTTCTTCACTATATTTAGAGCATAAAATTTGCCTTGTCAGTATGAGTACTGGTTGGAGAAGTGGAAGCAATTTCTCCAACTCTTAGGATTTAGGTTATTGCATCTTATCCGAATTCATGCTGTCACTGTCCTATAAATGCCATTATGATGTATATTTACCTAGCCTCTTCTCAGGAGAACAGATTTTGAAGGTAAGATGTTGTCATCCACAGTTCAGATGTGTTTCTGATGCAACCTCTAACAAGATTAATATGTAAATAACAAGAGACAGTTCATTAAATAAGATAAATCTGTAAATGAGCCAGTTCCTATGTAGATACACCATTTTTCCTAGTGATCTCTGTGAAAGATATTTATCTATCTAGTTTCTACTCTTTTAAAAATCAAGTTGATTCCATACATAGATAATTTACCTTCATTTTCTTTAATAGAACTCTG